ACCGGTTTTACTTTGATTTTTCATAATATATATAAATAAATTTTATACATTTTATCAATTTTTCAATCAAAATATGCATTATATGATTTGAAATACATATTACTGATTAATTTAATAAATATATAAAATTATATAATATAATTAATTAATAATTTTATATAAATATATTTAATTAATAATTTTAATACCGAATAAAATAAAAATTTTACCGAATAAAAAATTCTAATTATTGTAGATATTAAAGAATTTCATTTTAATAAAATTTGTAATTTACAACTTTAATTTATTTCACAATATTCATTAATAAATAATATTTATTATTAATAAATAAATAAATAAATATTTTACAAAAAAATATATTATAAAAATTAGATAATAAAATAATTACAAAAGAAATGAAATACAAAGTTTAAATTTATTAATTTCTATATTATTCGAATAGATGGCGTGTTTGTTTGAAATATCCGCTAGTACGCATTCATAAAGTCATATCTATTATTATATATTTTTTAATAAATATAATTTGATAAATGAAAGAATGTTATAAGCATATTTTTCTTAAATATTTAAAAGATTAGCGATTATATTTTAAAATATGTAATGGTAATTAATGTTAAACAAAGTGTGAAGTTCTTTGTACATAATATTCAAAGTGCGTAGTTCATCGTTTGCTTCTAACTTCCTCTTACAAAAATTACATTTCTATGTAAGATACTAATTTAAAACTATCGTAATATATATAAAAATAATAATATAAATATACACATACATATATTTTTTTTTTCCAGTAGTATTTAAAACGTCACATAAATATCAACTTTTTTATTTGGTTAATTATTTGTTGTATATATAATAGAAGTCGATATGTTGATTAATATGAAACGCATCTAATGTATTTCTTCTCTTTTGGTGAGTAGTGCATGTGTATTTGCATAATAAATAATAATTCGTATAATAAAATAGTAATTCGATAAAAAATATATTTATGATGAGTGCAATACTTCCATTACAAAATAAAAGTATGTAATTTTGTAATATAATTAATGTCTATTATCCATTATAATATCTCCATAATGAGAGAATATATATGCATATATTTATATAAATTATATGCATTTTTATGCACATTTCTTTTACTATTTAATAATTTTTGAAAAATATTTATTAAAAAAGTAATCAACTATTTTCATATATCAAATATGATTTCTAAATATATACATATATATGTCTATGATTTCTTTGTTTTATTTATCATTGAGATTTAAATTATAATTAATTATTATTATGAAATAAAATTTTTTTAATAATAAATAAAATATATTAATAAATATATAATATTTATAATATATANTATTATTTTAACATTTCTTATTTTTATTTTATGTATAGATTTTAATTGGAGCATGTACCAGACTTTATGGATTACAGTCATAGCGTTTGTATTTATAAATGCTGAAAAATGCCACCAAAACAAAGAAAAATAGCTATTATGGGTTATAGATCCGTAGGTAATATAATTTGTTATTGTAATTAAATTATTTTAATAATTTAATAAATTATGTAAATAAAGCTAATTTATTTGATAAATAATTATATAATTAATAATTAATAATTAAATTTGTATATATCTTTAAAAATTAAATAAAAAATGAAATTTTATTATGTCATAAAAGTAAAAATTATATTTCAATTTTAAAAAATATTATATATTTAAAGTATTTATATATGCAATATGATATATAAAAATATATTTTGAATAACAATTTTTTTTATTAATCTTAATAGGCAAGTCATCACTGAGTATACAATTCGTCGAGGGACAGTTCGTGGATTCATATGATCCTACTATAGAAAATAGTAAGAAGTACCTGTATCGTCTTACACGCTACTTCAAAGATTTCTAATGACACTGTTAGTAGTATTTTCTGCACATTTTGTTAGTAATTCATGCTGTAAACAAGCAATAGATTCATGAAAACTTATTATTGAATGAGTAAATATTTTATTGAATGTACTTTAATGAGTAAAAAAAATTTTTTGAAATAAAAATAAAAATCTTTAATATATTTATATTAAAATTAATTATCAACTTTTTAAATTAATATTTCTTTTTAATTTTAATTATTTATAATATAAAGAATCTATAAAAAGTTGATAATTTGTTGATAAGTTGATGAATATATTAAATCCATTTTATTTTTATTCAATAGAAATTTTACTCAGATAAGAAAATTATGCAAGACAAAGTTAAAGTTTGCTTTTCTATATTTCAAAGATATATTTTTTTAATACTTCAATTTCAAAATTGAATATAAATTTTTAAAAGATTCTTTCTCCCTCCCTTCCTGCCCCCCTTCTCTAAAAATTAATTTATTTTTTAAATATATATTAATTTTAAGTATTAATTTCTTGCAAAAAATTTTCTTATATAATCTTATATATCTCTTTTTTTATTTTTATAATTTTTATTGTAATAAGATTTCTTTAAATTTGGTTATATATATATTTATAACATATATAAATGTTTACACATTAATAATAG